GTAGTAGTAGTAGTAGTAGTAGCAGTAGTAGTAGTTGTAGTAGTAGTAGTAGTAGTAGTAGTAGTAGTAGATCTAGTAGTAGTAGTGTGGTCAAAGGTTGTGTAGTAGAGAATCCTTGGTATAGAACGAATCTTTGGTGCCGTAGCAGTAGTAATAAGTAATGTTATGGTATAGTACGTGTTACTGTTTGTTGTTACTGCTAATTCTTTGCTCTCGTGTAACAGTGAACGAAAGAGGTCTTGGAAAAAAACGTTCCAAGGGTGTCAAAATAATAAGGAGAGCTTATAGTCAGTTATCCTTTAAAAGGAAAACTAACAAAAACAGCAAAGAGAACAAACGAAAAAAATCGCCCAGGCTATTCACGTGGCCATGTTATGCCTGGGAAGTGGGTCATATGATTGTCTTGACCAATGATTGTCGTTCTTTTTGTTTTGGACCGAGAATGAAACAATTCGATGAAGTAACCCGTTCGCTTATGGTTAGAAACAAAGTTAAAATTGGAAAACGATACTACTGTTTTAATATCTTCAAGAAAAATCAAATGAAATATTTCATTATGGAAAGAACTTATTTACATCTCATTACAGGTTATAAAGGGGATGTTTATCAACGCAAAACCCACTCTTTCGAAGCGAACAGTTAAACATCCGCTTACTGTCGGAATTGAGTGTAGTTTAAGATTAGTATCTGTGCAATGTGTTTATCACATGATCAAAACAACCAAGATGGCTGAGGCTGTTAGACCAAGGCCCCGAAAACAGAAGGTAATTATTTATTGTTCTTGTTTTCTTCGTGACTGTTTGGCTTTGGAATGGATTTGTTGTCACACTTATTGAATGCAAGACATTTGGCTTTGTAGATGAACAATTTGTTTCTTGTTAGTACTGCAGAGTACAACCGTTTACTGCGTTGAGTGTTGAGTATTTCGTTCAACGTCAAATCAGACCACCAGTCAACAACAAAGATAGATTTCTAGATGGTCTTATTTTTATCTGTAGACTCGCTGCAATGGCGAGGTCATGTGTTTGAATATGGTCCCTGAATCACGTGCAAACGGGTCTTGTGAAGAATTTTTAATCAACTGTCTTACGCATTCTGATATCCCATCCAATTTTAGTCCCTCTAGTTCTAGCTTTACATGCTGACTGCTGTTGTGCTTGAAAAAAAAAAGTTTTCCTCAGCCCCAGGAAAAGAAAAAGAAGAATAAATGCTGGATTCAGCTTGCAATAAAAAATAAAATTTTAATACTAGATCTAGATCTAGATTTAGATCTAAATTTAGTCTAGATCTAGATTTAGATTTTCTAGATCTATTTACCTGCTTACAGTAATAATGGTAGTGATAGTGTGGAAGTAGCAGTGGTGTGGGAAAAGATGCTTGTGTCTTTAAAAACTTCAGGCTATGGGGAAATTCCTAATAATTCTTTCCAATACTGGTTCTGGTGGTAACTTTTACTCTCGGTTTCAGATCAGAATGTCTTTTGAATTTTAACACTTTTCAGTTACAGTCAGCTGTACAAATGCCTCATCTGGTCACCCAGCCAGGAGAGTGATTGCTACGGACTTTTCGGGCCTGGCGCAGAACTGCGCCAACTGTGCCAGGTGACCGGAACGGATGATTTTCACCGTCGCATTATTGCGCCAGGTGACCTCAAAGTGTTTTTAAAAGTGAAGTGACTATTCGGAAAGTCCGATTATACAAAAATGACATTCGGCCTGAATTGAGTCCAGCATGACATTCGTTTCGACTTCCAACCCTTGTTCCTAAATATTTCCAGCATTATTCCATAATTTATTTTAAAAAATTTTTTTTTTGGGGGGGATTATAATTATGGTCTAATGTTGACAATCGAGACGTGAGCTTTATCCTGTACCAGATCTGTCTAAACTGGCCCTCCCTGCATCATTAGTATGGAGTATGAACAGAACAACGAAGTTGGGCAAAGTTTTGTGTCCACCGATGAGATTGCGCATAGTGATCATGCACTCTCGACTTGCTGGGGGAAGAGGTGTTGGGAAGGGGCCACGGCTGTCGGTTTTTTACGATGTGATTAAAAAAATAATTAATTATGGAAAAACTACAACACAACAAAATGAAATTAAAAATCAGGAAAGACAAATGGTGGTGGAATTAATGATGATGCTGTAGTGGTGGTGGAACGACCCTGAGTTGTCAGTTATCGTGTACATAGACACTGCCATTGGGCAATGAGAGTGCAGTCTTTTGACTTTTGACTCAATTACACAGTCCTTGTAGGTAGTTCTAGTTCTAATTCTGGTTTTACGTAAAATCCCCCGACGACAGTTATATTAATGTAACCTCCTTACACTCACATAGCTCACTTAGAAGCTGAATCCGAATAAATATTTTTAAGAATTCGGACCCGAGTCTGAATATAGAAGATAAAACCCATATTCATATTCGGACTCGAGTCTGATAAGATAAAAAATCTAATCGGACCCGAGACTGAATAGAGCTGGCCTTCTAACCCTTCCAGCCCCAGCCATTTCTGTGCACTCCCTAACCCCAGTCCCAGCCAATACAACAGTATTTCAGAAAAAGAGGCATGCATTCTAAAAAAATGATGCAGTATCTTTGTACTGAGGTTTACATGATAACATTAGCAATGTATAAAGATAAAAGAACAAATATTATGAACATTAAAGTTTAATTAGGTTAGTTAATTTTGAAAAATGCACAAAATTCTCTATCCCCCGAAACTGAGAATATACGCTCTTGGGTTGGTGGGAGGTACAAGCACTGCTGAAAATATACGCGCATGGGGCTGGAAGGATTAAAAAATAAATTTTAGATCACTGGGAACCAACCCTAACTTTCTTCAAAACTGAACATGTTGTTATTATTTGGCATTAGGCCTATTTTATTTTAATTGTAGGGGTTGGGGGGGGGGGAACCACCTTCGTTAACTTTAATTTGATACATAATTTTTACTTTCACTCTCGCTCACACTTGTATGCACTACTTTGGGCTTGGGGGTCAAACTGCAGTATTTTTACCTGCAGATCACATGGCCACTAAAACTGCCGCAAATCAGTTATTTTCAAGAAAATTTCTAACCTAATTGAAAATCGTCAAATTGTGGGGACAAATAGGGGGGCAAGCCTTCCTGTAACCCTTAGATCTTTTTTTTTTTTTTTTACCCTAGAGGGGCATGCCCCCCACCCCCTCCCCCTGAAACACCCCAATTGGTCCAAAACGCAGAAATTACTATGCAGTTCTAAGGCTTAGTGTCATACATGGTTTGAATAAAAACCAATCTGAAAAAATATTACATTTGATTTGCGATGAATACGAAGTCAATATTTGTTTAAAATGGATTATGAAATGATCAAGAAAAGGGCTTTACAAAACCTGAGCATGATAGTAGTGAAAGTGAAAGAATACACACCTTTAATTTTTTCTGCTTGCTTCTAAAATCATCAGACTCACTGAGTGTTTTTTTTTGGTGTGTTGTATGGCACTCGCAACTGCATAAGGTCATATGAGTGCGCGGGACACATTAAACATTTTTCAGTTGGTAGGAAATTTTGAATTTAGCTCTGGTGGCAGCCAAAGCCTACCTTATCAATTTTAGGACCACCAAGGGTTCTTTAGAGTTCGCAACATGCAAATGGGACCTCCGGGGTTTTTTGCTGATACCCGAGAAGGCTAGGTGTTAGATCTTACCTACCATAAGACCGGGAGTGCGGATGAAAGACAGCAGTGAGAAACAGCTACGGAGTAGCAGTAGAAAGGCTGCAGAAAGAGTCAGGAGCCCAGAGGAGGGGGCAGAAAGTGGAGACGAACGCAGACAACAGAATATGGTTAGAGAGCAGGAAAGGGGGTGAAAGGAGAAAATTTTCCTTCGCTGTCCAGATTTGTACCCGGGACCTTTTGAATGAGAGGCAAACACCAGGTTCAGTAATTTCCGTTATTTTCAGTGGAAAAACAGTAATCATTTTAAGCATTTATTTCTGTTTAACTCCATATATTAGTTGACTCTATGCTGTCTTTTTGTTTGCAAATTCAACATGAATTCTCAGGTACATTTTACAAGATCCCAGTGACATCCCTGTTTGTTGCAGAGTTTGGGTATTCTAAGAGTAAGTGTCAGTTTATTATATATATTTCATGCTTAAATTAACGTTTCATCGTAATACAATGCCAGTTGTTTTTTTCACAGTCCAAGAAGACTAAACAGGCTTCAGCTAAAAGTGAAGTGAATGAGGAGGCTGAAGACAATGTATGTATTCAAGATGCTGTTAAAGCTCCAGTTGAAGAACAAACACCCAAAGATGACCCAGAGCAGACTGCGCCTGATCCTGTACCCACAGAAAAGGAAGAGATCCCTACAGGGGATGGTGCCATTGAAGAAGGCACCATACATCAGAAGGAGAAGAATGAAGAAAAACAAACTGCCACAGAATTTGAGAGTGAAGATGTAGCTGAAGAGTCAGGTACCTACAGTGATGCTAGAGAGCTGCTTTCAGGTGACTATTCTGGGGGTCAAGAAGACTGTGTAACTGAAGAACAGGCGGGCCATGAGGCTAGGCCTGACCAATCTATAAATGAAAAAGATACAAAAGAAGGTCAGGCCTTTGTTGAGGAGAAGGTGGTTTGTGAGAATGAGAGTACTTCTGCCGTTCCAGATGGAAGTTCACATGTTGTGCCTGAAAGACCCCACACTCTTCTTCCTCAAGCCGATGAGGCTCGTTCTTCCCCTGCTCTGTCACACGTTAGTGACCAGGAGAGGGGACCTTCTCTCCAGCACCATGAACCGACGAGCGTTCACTCTCCACCCAGCGCAGCGTCTCTGGCTGCTCACATGCAGCGGCACCATACATCGTCGCTCGCAGACAACCACCGGTACAGGGTGGGTTCTCCTAACTCCCCACTCCACATAGATGGACCTGCTGTGGTAGAGGACCCAGATACCCCAATGATGCGGGCTACGTCTCCACAAATCCACAAGACTCTTCAGAGAGAGTCAACGAAATCACCACCACCCACAGTGCCTACGGTTGTGTACGAGGAGAAGAGCCCTACGCTAATGGCTGAGGAAGCTTTGGCTAGGATGAGGGCTATGGACCTCCAGCTTCGGGTGGAGCCGAGCCATGAGGAACTCGCGTCTCCTGTCACCGATGTCTTACCTGGAAACTCTTCAGTTTCATTCACTGCGGCTTCACATGATACCGCGTCGAAGTCTTCACAGTCGTCAGAAATATGGAAGAAGCCTGGAGAAAAGATCTTGTCTACCCAGCAGCAAGAGATTGCTGCTACCCCAGCAGAGTTGATGCAAACACAAAACAAAAGTGTGTCGGAGGAGAAGACTGCCGTGAACATTGCAGAGCAGCCCAAGGTTTCGACCAAGTCAGCTTTCCCGGTACAGGAACTTGAAAAGGAGAAGCAGAAGAAAGGCAAACTGGGTGCGATGACTCTGGAGGAATTGCTAGCTCTGTACTACAACCCCCAGCTCGCATACAACGCCAGATTTATTGACGATTTTGTTCAGGTAAGACTTTAATTTGTTTCACAACAATTGCTTAGCAGTAAAAAAAGTTAATAAATTTTTTCAATGTGAATGTATGTATTCTCACTGTGAATTTTTAGTTTACTTTTGAAAATAAGTTCTGTTTTGTTTGGAGGATGGAGTTTGCAGTTATGTTGTTTTACTTTCTAAGGTTTACCCAGTATTTTTTGGAAATTCTATATTTTTGAAACTATGAATATATATATATATATATAAAGAGAAAATATGCTCTCCATGAACTGCAGACTCCTGTCCTGTACTGTGGCCATAGTTTGGGGCCAAGTTACAGAGGCTATTAGTTTAAACAGCTGCCATAGAAACTTGTATTGTTTGAAATAATGTATCAAAGCTTTGTATCTGTTTAAAAAAATGTTTTCTTGATGTTTGACTTTAAATTAAGTAATGTACCATAAATTTTCAATGCACACAAGCTGATTCTTTTTAAAATGTGTATTGTTCATGCAATAATATTAATCTGCTCACCGTATTATTATGCGAAATGTATACTTGTACTAATAGTGAACTTTCTTCTTGTGTCTTTATTTTAAGTTTTGAGAAGTATAAACTTCCCAGTATTATGTAATATTTAATAAACCCTTTGTTTTGATATAATAATGTATTTGCAGAGAGAGAGCAAGAAAGACAGCCATGAGTTCCTGGAGATTTTGTCCAACTATTTCCGCACGCGGCACCAGCTGGTGAGTGTGGAGGAAGACATCCACAGTCTGCAGAAGAACTACTCTGGCCTGCAGAAGGAGCTGTGGCAGTTCCAGATGAAGACAATTACAGTTCAGGTAGTTCTCATTGTGTCTAGTAAAGTATTATACCACCACAACAGCTTTCATTTACTAGTCGACTGTTTTAATCCAGTGCATATCATTAGATCACAAGGAGCACGAGGCAGGGGTGGGCCACGGGAAACATGGAGGAGATGTTTTGAAAAGGGACATGAAAGAGCTGAAGCTCACTTGGAAGGAACTTGGATGGACGGCCCAGGATAAAGATAAATGGAAAGAGCTTGTATGTGGCCTATACCCTGCCAGGGGTGAGAGTGAGAGGCATTGATGATATCATTAGGTGATGGACTTGGGGACAGTATGATGAAAGTAAAGCCGTCACTCTCTGCTAGTTGATAAGTCGAAACTGCTCTAATGGTCACCTGTCCAAGACGATCATTTGTAGAAAGGGCCACTTCCCACATCCGACCTTGTGGTTTTTTAAATGTATAATGTAAATAACACTATCGAAGACATCCACACCACTTTTCTCCTCAAAAATGTGTGGCTGGTTGGGACAATTGCATTTTAAAGCTTTCTTGCTGCAGGACAAAGGAACCAAGTGTCTGTCAAAATGTTCTTTCTTCATCAATGTTTGTTTTGATTTTTTGAGAAACTACTGCTGTGAATTACTTTGTGCTTTCAGTTTTTTGATATAGTGAAATGTGTTTATGACATCAAATAAAGTCATTTGGCTTAAGAACAGCTTTGATGATATAAAAGTTAGCTCATTTGATGCGAGAAAACTTGCTGCAAGTGTTTTGAAACAAGAGAAGCCTGATCCAGGATGCTTGAAATAAGAAAACTTAGTTTTTCTTATAATTTAGAATACACTATTAGGTGGTAAAAAAGTTTGTACAATTAGATACAATTAATAAGCAGTATAATTAACCTCTTCTCACTTTGTAAAGGCTTTTACTTCGTATTTGATAGCAGCAGTTATAATTGTACTTAAAAAAAAAAAAAAGAATAAACATAGAGATTTAAGAGGGTGAACACTTTTATGACCCTTTTCTGCATATATGAGCCCTAGTGCTTTGTATTTATTTATTTACAATTTTTAATGTGTGCTACTTTTCCATAACTACTTGTCGAAACATAATGATACTTGGCATGTAGACTAACTAAAGGCCCATTGACATAGCTACAATGTTTTTGATATATATTTAGTCATTTGCTTGGTATAATGTGTCAGAGTGAAGGGCTAAATTTTCATGAAAATTCAACTTTTGCCAGCTTTAAAAAAAAAGGAAGTATTGAAGTTTCAGCTCAAAACTCCTTACAGCTTTGTAGCTAGCATGGTTTTACATTATCTAGTGAAATTTGAGCCCTCCAGTTTGAATAGTTACGGGGAAGAAGCAAATTAGAAAATATAAGAGATTTAGAGTCGATTCTATTCCCCACCCCTCCCCTTAATTCAAGCATATTTTTCTTTTCTAATCTGCTGTCAATCCAAAGGGTCAGTGTGCCGACCAGGCCAAAGTGACCATCAACCACAGTTATGAGCAGTGTCTACTGAACGATGAGGCGGTGAACAAGATGGGCTACACCCTGGAGACCATTCGCTCACAGATCACGGACAACTTGTCTCTGTTTGCCTACTCTGCCCAGATCTCAGCGTGAGTTCTCTTGTTCTGATGGGTGTCAGTTGTCTTTAGTCTGTTGTCTTTAGTCCTGTAGCTTTGGTTGGATTGTTTTCTTAACCCTCACAGCCCCAGTTGAATATATTTCCCTCTTAAGTTCTCATTCCCGCCTGGCCTAGTTGCGTACCTTTTCCTCATATTATGGTTCTAGCCTCCTCCAACCCAGTCGCATATTTGGTTGGCGGGCGCTCTGGTGTGGTTTGCTCCTTCTTTCCTTTCAAACATCAATCATCCTTATCTCTCCTCCTTTTTTGTGTATGTTACTCTCTTTTAACACATCTATTCTTCGGCACTTATATGACCTTTTTGTGTTGCAAGTGTCTTAAAACTCTTATTAAAACTTAATGTAAAGCATATTTTTACCGTAATCTATCCATTTGCCTCTGAAATACATTCTACATGTTATCTTCTATAACTTCAAACAGATGACAGAGAGAGACAGAGAGAGAGGGAGAGGGAGAAAGAGGGGGGAGGAGATCCCTACTAGAACCGTTTAGTGCTTGTAATCTTTGTGTTATTGAATGCTTTCTTAGTGGGAATATGCTAAATAAGTGAAATTTATCTTTATTTTTATTATTTACCCCTGACTGTGTCATGATTTGATTCCAGGCTGCAAGTGGAGTCCTACATCCATGACCTGTACGTGAGCTGCCCCATAATCAGAGACATACCCAAGAATGCCCCTATACAATGTGAGTATTCGAGGGCTGCTGAGATGGAAAAATGGTGAAATTAAATACAACTATTTCGTGATTTCAGTACTTAATAGGAATGCTTCTTTGTAGTTTTAAGTGAGGCAGCATCCTTTTGATACTGTTTCATCCTCTTAATTTCAGTTTTGGTGTTCATCTGGTTTTCTTTTTTTGTTGTAGTTGCTATCATTGTTTTCCTTCAGCATCTTAATTTGAGTTTTATTATGCTGTGCCTGTCTTAAAACGAGGGCAATTTTTGTGAGTTTACTTTGCAATGGATATTTACTTACGGCAAAAGTTTAAAAAAATTTTTTAAGTTTTAATTAGAGAAAAATAATTTGAAACAAATTTTTTTCTGTGGCTGTCCAAAAACAAGAGTAGTTTTGTTCATTTTCTGTACAATGGGTCTTTGCTTTCCTTACAGCGAGGCTGCAGGTGCTTCCACAAGAGGAACACCAAATACAAAGATTAAAGGACTGCATCAGCATTCTCTTCATGTTCCATCGCAAGCCGACGCTGGATGGAGAATTCATCAACAATATCCGTCAGTGGACCGTGCGGCTGGTTAGTAAACCTGTCACTTACTTACTTGTCTCACTTGTCCGCTGTGTTGGGGTCACTGCAGTCGGAACATGTCCATCTCTGCTCTCCCCCCCTCTTCAGGATCCATCCCAGAGTTGTCTACATCATAATCTGGTTGGAGATCCGTCGGACTGGTCCGCTCAGATACCTGTCACTATGTAATGAAGTAGTGTGTCGATTAGGGCGTAGAAAGCATTTTGATTACAAAAATCTTTTAACCCTATCCGTATGGTCATTTTGTATCCTTGGGGTTGTATTCTTCACATTTTAGAATACTTCTAGTACGAAAATCTCTCTGAAACTTTCACTATTTCTCAAAATATCATTTAGACAGACTGCTGTGCAAAGCGTACGGATCGGATTAACGAGTAAATTTCCTCTTTGGAAAGTGGTGGCACAGAGTTCCCCTATGTCGTATGGATTCGATAGTAAAACAAGACATACAGATAAGGTTAAACAAATTGTTTTTATATAGTAAGATATGATTTTAGTACCCAATCTCCTCCACATCTTAATGACAGATGAAAAATATAGATAATTTCAAATTTCTGTTTTCTTATGTAATGCATATAAATTCTATTATTGTTATTATTATTATCATTTTTCCATTTTTCAAATCAGACATCGTCATTGCTGCGTGTCGCTACGTTCTCGGACCACCTGTTTATCTTGAACCACCTCTTGCGGTGTCCGTCAGGAGTTGGACGGTGGGCGGCAGAACTTGTCCAGCTGCCCGTGCTGACCCCTGTCTCAAGTGCTCCGCATCAGCAGACCTTTGGGGGGCCCTTGCTTGACCACACGATTACTGCTTTAGCGACCGTGCTGCTCCCGGCGAAGTGAGTGTGTAGATTTATAATGTGTGTGTGTAAATGTTTGTTTGTGTTCGTGAGTGTGTGTGTTTGACATTAGAAGTGTATTTAATATTGTTTTACTAAACTAAAGGGATATTGTGATATATCGGCAGTCTTGTGTATTGTCAACATGAGATGACCGGCAGTTGTTGGCCAATTTAAAAAAGCATGTTTAGTTAATGACGTATCAATTTTTTATTGCTTGAAAGAGGCTACTTCAAATTCTTCCATTTGTATTATTGGTTTTATTAAAGTTCTCAGGGGAAAAAATTCTGCGAATCTGACAGGAATCGTATTTTTATTTTTGTGGGTGGTTTGCTCTTATTTTACAATAAAGCATCTATCGTAGTTATCTCTCCTGTCTTTTTTTTTTCGTATGTTGTTTTTTAGTAGCACCTCTCATCTTCAGCACCTATATGACCTTTGTGTATTGCAGATGGTGTAAAACTCTTATTAAAACTAAATTATCGTTGGTGTTTAATTTTGTCAGCACTTATATGACATAATTACATTGCAAGTGCTGTAAAAAAAAAGCTGTTTTTAGAACTTAACTATCATAGTTATTTGTTGGCTCTTGCAATATGATGACATAACTGTGTTGCAAGTACCGTAAAATTCTTGCTAAAACTAAACTTTTATTGCTATTTTTCAGCACTTGACTGACCTAATTGTGTTGCAAGTGCCATAAAACTCTTACAAAAACTATACAAAAACTATACTATTATTGTTATGTGTATGTGTTTTGTGTTGTTGCTGCCAGGGCGCGGGAGGAGTTCATGTGTCACATGCGGATCAATCTGTCGGCCGAGAGCATCCAGGATGAGAGGGCCTGGATACTGGTGGATTCTGATGGTGAAGAGGTCAGTGTGCACTAATGTTCAGTGACTTTGTGTCTGTGAGGACGGGGGAAATGATGATAAAAATAATAATGATAATAATAATAATAAAGATAATAATAATAATAAGGATGATAATAATAATTATAAGGATGATAATAGTGATAATGATAATATTGATAGTAATTATAATAATCTATAGCGCCCACTCGTGCACAATATTGTTTTAGGTGCTTTACAATACCTTCAACTCAAACACAAAACACACAAGCGGGGAGAAAGTTTTTTAAAATCGAATATCTCAGTCTTTCTGCTGGGATGTTGTATCCCTCTCAGTTAGGGTTGGCCCTGACAAGTGGGGAGGAATGTTGCCATCTGAATGATCTAAATTGTGTTGATAGAGGTGTGAAAAACCTAGATTTATTTATTTTTGTTTTTTAGGAAAGCCTAGCTCCTGACAGACTCGAAGAGCAGGAGTCACAGCGAGCAGCAAGTCATATGAGGCTTTACAAATAAGAAATGCTGAAACCAAGATAAAAGCTTGCAAGCTGCGCACCTCCACAAGTGGAAGAGCAGCTTTCGAATGCCCAAAAGTTGGCAAAGGATGATCTATTTGTATTATTAAAAATATTATTTTTGGGGTTTATTTTTGTTTTTATTTTGTTATTTGACTATTGAATTCATCTGTTGTATTATGATCATATCTGTGTCATTAGGATGAGGACCCAGCCAACACCTGGCTGTACCTGCATGAGAACGACATCGTTGCTCTCCTGAACCAGTTCCCTCTGGCCGACCTTTATGCCCACATTATGATGGCTGGCATTTCTGAAAGCGGTGAGCCCAGTTGACTTTTCTTCTGTGGTTGTGTGGGCCCCTTATCCTATGAATTTTGCTATAATACGGTCAAAATTGTCTAATAAGGTCACCCGTTGTCGAGGAGGAAAATGGTCATCTTAGACAGGTGGATGTCTTACACAGTAACATTATAATGTAAAAAAATATGCAAGGTGTGAAAGGGGACGTGGCCATTTTTACAGGTGATTGTCTTTCACAGGTGGCTGCTAAAGTAGGTTTGACAATAATTGGGTTTGTAAACTTTTGCTGTTGTGTCTTCTCATGGTAAAATACAACTCAGAAATTATGAACATTGTCTGATATTAATTTTTTTTTTCTGCTGGGTGTTTACAATGTATTTGTTGTACGCTAAATGACCGTTATTACATTGATGTGTTTCTCTTTACTCTTACTCAAACTCGTGGGTGGTTGGCAGGTACTCTAGTGTGGTTTGCTCTCTCTTTCCTATCAAACATCTATCGTCCTGATCTCTCCTCCTTTTTTGTGTTTGTTACTCGCTGGAAACACCTCTAATCTTCGGCACTTATATGACCTTATTGTGTTGCAAGTGTCGTAAAACTCTTACTAAAACTAAAACTAACTAAAACTCAGGTTCTGTGGACTATGACATCCGGCGCAGCACGGAGCCCATGATGATCCGCCTGTTTGCCTTCAGCACAGTGTTAATCCAGCTGTTTGGCTCGGGCCTGACCACATACAACATGGCCAGATACCGACAGCTCAACAAACGCCTGGGTCGTCTCATCAGGTAATGAAGACGTACGGGTCAAGAGGTCACCTTGTGGTCAGATTTAGGGCTTTAAAAAAAAAATAAAAAAATGTTGGTGTCTTGCTCTTCTTGCACTTCTTCTTTTTGTTAGTGTTTTACTCTCCCATCAACACCATTTAGATCGTTTATGATGCGGGCTTTGACCTTGTGAGGCCAAGATGCTCAGTAAAAATTCTCCCCACATCTATTCTCCTTTTTTGTGTTGTTGCTCTCTTGCAACGTCTTATATCTTTGGCACTTATATGACCTAATTGTATTGCCAGTGCTGTAAAACTCTTACAAAAAAAACAACAACCCAACGAAACCCTAAACATCTTTGGTCCTAATCTCTCCTCCTTCTTTTCTTTGTTGTTCTCTTGTAATATCTCTAATGTCTGGCACTTACATGATCTATTGTGTTGCAAGTGTCATAAAACTCTTACTGAAACTTAATATTTATTGTCCCAATCTCTCCTTTTTTTTGTATGTTATTCTCTAGTAGCATCTCTAATCTCCGCCACTTATATGACCTATTTGCTTCGCAAGTGTATGAAACTCTTACTACCCCACGGTGCAGTGCCACTGACTGTAGTGTCTTTAGGTCTTTACCAAAGGGGGGACAATTCTCGTTCAAGCACAGTATAATTGTAAATGGGCTGATTCAGGTCACGCTCATAACTGTGCCTGATCTACAACAGGGAACTGCTACTTCTTCTTTCTTAATCCTTACTATTGTCATTTTCCTCTACTTCTTTTGTATGTTTGTCACTCTCTTGTGACCTGCTATTTTCGGGGTGCCTTAATAGTCGAAGCAGACCTTGTGCTGTTGAAGCTAGAGAGGTGAGCAGAATAAGTCTGATTCCCTGTAAAGACTTCTCTGTTTCCACCCACCCCTTGGCGCTCATATGATCTTATGCAGTTGCGAGCGCCGTAAAACCCTCTACTATAAAAAAAACAACTCTTACTGAAACTTAACTAAAACTCTCTGCTTCTAGGCAAACAGTGTGTTTCGTATCTGACCACTGGCTCAACTTCAAGATCTACTACGGACCACTTGCCCCTGTGGCCAGTATGGAAACCTTGCAGCTGGAGTTTGACCAACTCTTCATGAGGGCCACATACAGCATCCTCACAGCTCAGAAGTAAGTCTGTCTGCCTGCTCATATACAACTGTACATGGTGTCGGTGGTCTCGTATATAGGCTCTCTGACTCTCAATCATAAGTTCATGGGTTTGATTCCTTTTGGAGGCCCAACATTGTGTCCTTTGGAAAGGCACTTTACCTAAATTTTCCTCATTTCTTCACCCAAGTGGGAATGGATGCCTGGCTATACATGGTGAAAGATCTTATCAGTTTATAAGTATTTGAGCGCTTTTAATCCACAGCTTGCACCCGGTATGCTTCCCGGAAACTGAGAATGTTTTTGGGTGTTCTAGATTCTACTGGGGTAATAGTAATTGTAAAGTGCCTATGGCATGCTGTAGAGCTTGGATATTGGCTATATAAGCACAATTTTCTGTACTTATTAGCTGTAGCGGGGCTCTATAGCTGAGCAGGTATGCTGTTTGCCTTTCAACCTGGAGGTCCGGAGTTCAATCCCCAGTAGTGCCAGGTTATTTTTGTCATATTTTTTTTTACAGTCCCTGATTTCAAGTTATGTAGGATTGAGCTCCTAAGCTTCTTGGATAAGGACAAGAAGTTTCAGATGAACCATGTGGGAGTTTCGCACCTTAAAGATCCCTTGGCAGTTCTAAATTTAAAAAGACTAAACTTTGGGCAAGGTCCCAAATTAATTCCAACCCAAAACTGAAGCTTTTCTAATCAATATAAATATTAAGAGTTCCTTAAAAAATGGCATATAGCTGTTAGTCGGACAAGAGGTGATTGTACGAAATATGTAGATAATATGGCCATGTACGTAAAATTAACTAATCTGTGAAATGAAGATCTTACAATCAGTTACTCCCTCCTGTCTTAGTTCCAGCAGAAGTATAAGAAGAAGAAGAAGTAGATGCACAACTGTACGCACAAAAGGGTACTCAAGACTATGGCAAAAGTAGATGAACTAATGACACTGAAACATACCTGACCTCATGACCAAAAGTTATATGAGTTCATGACTCCGTCTTCCCTGCACCAAAGTTCAGCTGCTCTTACTCATGCACACAGACCTAAAGATATGCACAACCATTTTTTTTGTGTCTGAAGATGACCTTGTTTTACCTTTCATCCTCATTTTGATTAAAACTTTCTAGGACAGCCCATTTTGCCATTGTATCACAACTAGAATTGGTTTGATTACTGACCTAATTGTTGGTATTCATAAGTTTCTGTCAGTATTTAGAACATTAGGGTTGTGCATGACCTATTCAGTTAAATCCTTTTTAAGAGACAATTTTGGTGGAATTTGTTTAACCTCTAGTCATGGTTTTCCATATCTTTACCACTCTGCCTCAGTGGACTATATGATTTCAGGTTTGTTATTTTACTACAGTTATTGTATTTTGTTTGTTTGACTTTTGTTGTATGAGAGATCAGCAAGATCGCAAATGGGGTTTGCTGTCTTTTTTGTTCAGTTTAGTAGTTGTTTTTTTCCCCCCTGCTTCTGTTTGGTAATGAAAGATGTTTGAACAAAAGATGATACGCACAGTGAAAGAGATTTATTAATTGACGTTCTCAACATTTTTGTTATTGCTCCTAGTGTTGTATTATATGCAGTGTATGTGTACACATGTCCATGTGTGTGTGAATATGTGTATATGGTTGGGTGTGTGTGTGTGTTTTTGTGTGTAGTGTAAGAGAGAGAGAGAGAGAGATCCCTTTGAATTTGTGTGTTGTGTTTGGTGTTACTGTTACTCAGCACAATGCTTCCTTTTTTACCTCTTTTTTTTTATGTTCCCATCGTAATTTGCTTTTTGTTAAAAGCTTTTTATACAATGACTTGTTACTGCTTCCAGCTCCTGACTTGGCACTCCCTCTTTATTTGCGCTCTTCAGTTGTCAGTGTAATAGTTGAAAGTTCTGTTCCGAGAGGGTGTTACACAATCATGTTGTTGTTGTTGAGTTCAATGTGGCAAAGTGAGTGTTTGGTGGATGCTCTGGTGTGATTTGCTTCTTTGTTTAAGATTTAACAGGTTCTTACTTTTACCCCTCAATACAGCCCCTTGTAGATGTGATAGCTTCTTTAGAGTTTATGGAAATGGTAGAAGTTGTTGCGAAAGTGTATGTGTCCGTGTTCTAAGATGTAATATTTTATATTTTCTTAATGACTGTGTCTGTCTTATTGTTTTTACTAACATTATCTTAATACTTTCAAATATCTGTGAAAGTCATGGGATGGACTGTTGATCTAAATTTGTCGTCGGTGAATCTGAGAACAATTCTGAAAGAGTCTTAGAATTGACATGATTGTGTGCAGTTTTGCCCCTCAGCCTTCATGGAGGGGAAAGTTAGGGCATGGAGTCTTTGTTTGTTTTGGAGCCAGGTATTCTGTGCTGCTCAAGCCACTACAGTTTACTCTGAGCTAATTTTTCTATAGAAGTGCTCATTGTGGCTCACCTCTTTTTGCTATAGATAAGTCAGTTCTGGGGTGACTGAAACTGAGAATTTATTTAAACAAAGTCGCTGAATTCTGGTTTAGAAACATATTAACATATCATTTTTGTGTGGTGGTTATTACGTCTTGTAATATGCAAATTGTGCTATTGTCACATGCGCACAGTTTAGGGTATTTCAAATATTTTCTGAAAGATTTTGGAGAAAGATGGTCAAATTTTGAAAGTATGTGTTGTCAGGTTTGTGTATTTATCCAAAGTTAATAATGATAATAATATTAGTAATAATAATAATGATAATAATAATAATAAAAACAACAATAAAATAATAATGGAATTTATATATGGCCTAATCCCAGAAAGCTTTAAGCGCTGATGTAAATCTCTCTGACACTCACATTCGGGTTTCTCTTCACAGACTAGGCTCATGGCAGTTTATGGCAGACATGCCGTACACCTGTGTGTCCACCGACAGCATGTGGCAGCTGCTCTGGGTACTGCATCAAGGTCAAGGTCAGGTGGTCAATCTCGACCGATTGCCCCCTGTCCAGAAGTGCAAGGAATACCTGGAGGGTAAGTCACACACTGTGCTTTATGTGTTCCTGAAGCTGTTTGCGTAATGTGCTTTGTGGTATGTGTCGGTGTGTGTAAGCCAGGAATACTGTGTAGATACTATGTGGTGTTTGGAATTTTGCTGTGTGCTGAAAAATAGTGTATAAATAATTTCTATCCCTCCCCAAAAATCAAATCGTGGACCAACTCTTCACCCATGCTAAGTCCCAATTTTTAAAAATAATTTGTCTTCAACTTTTTATTCTGTGATATCAGTTCGTTGTGTTTGAGAAAGATTTATTTTTGTTGAAATCCAAATTCTAAATGGTGAAAGAAAGAAAAAGCAAGAAGAGTTATGTGATTTAGGTACAGTCTTTGAAAGAATGTAACAGTATTTTCTCTCTCATGAAAAATGTTGCTTACTGGTTTAGATGGGTTTGGAAAAGTTGAACAGCTTGTCAATGAAATGTATTGCTGTTTGTGTTTATTGCTTTTCCTTCTGTCATGGTGCAGATCCAGACAGCTGGCAACAGCTAGCGGACAACCTGCTGCACATGCCTACATCAGAGGCCATCTACCTACTGACCACCTTTGCCAACATGGCCAGCTGTCGCTCTTACGAGGAAGAAGCCTTCATACAAACCATCACCCTGGAGGTTTTTGAGGTAGGATAATAATTTTAGTAATAATAATAATAATACAAATAATACTCGTAATAATCATAATCATAATTATGATCATATTAATAATCATAATAATTATGATAGAACAAAAAAATAATAAAAGTGATAAATTTGGTTTAAAGGAAGAACATTTCCACTATTAAAATGCTCAATGGGCTTAGCAATGATATAACGTACACTTGCACAATACGTCTCAATAGCTATCCTATCTCTCTCTCTGTCCTCATCCTTCGCTTCCTCCCTCTTTCTCACTTTCTCTGTCTGTCTGTCTGTCTGTCTGTCTGTCTGTCTGTCTGTCTGTCTGTCTGCCTGCCTGCCTGCCTGCCTGCCTGCCTGCCTCTCTCTCTCTCTCTCTCTCTCTCTCTCTCTCTCTCTCTCTCTCTCTCTCTCTCTCTCTCTCTCTCTCTCGATCTCTGGCTACCCCTCTCTAGGGCTATCTCGCTCTCCATCAACATACACACACACGCAAAATACAAACATATTCTATATCACGTATAAGATAGCAGCTTCTCTTGTCTCTCTCTCTCTCTCTCTCTCTCTCTCTCTCTCTCTGTGATCTCTCTCTCTCTCTCTCTCTCTCTCTCTCTCTCTCTCTTTCTCTCTTTCTCTATCTGCCTCTCTCTCTCTCTCTCTCTCTCTCTCTCTCTCTCTCTCTCTCTCTCTCTCTCTCTCTCTCTCTCTCTCTCTCTCTCTCTCTCTCTCTCTCTCTCTCTCTCTCTCTCTCTCTCTCTCTCTCTCTCTCTCTCTCTCTCTCTCTCACACACACACACACACTCACACACACACACACAAGGGAGAGGGGCACCTGAGCTTCGTGGTAATAGAACTTCAGAATCATGGTACAAGGCACTGACACTTACTACAAGGAGATGTTTAACTGTCTGCTATTGACGGCCTTCCTTGTCTCCTCCACAGATTGCTTACATTTGTAACCACACCCGAGAGTTCTGCTCCAAGGTGGGCAGGGAGCTTCTGTCTGGCATTATCCAGACTCACCCAACGGCCTTGTCCTTCCTGTTGGCCAGGGTCAAGGACGTGCTGGCCAAACTGGGCAAAGTAAGTTGCATCGTGCTATCTGATTGAAAGGCTGGCTAAGCCACCTCATTTTAGGGGGACTTCTCTGTTGAGATCCACCCCTTGGCGCTCCTATGACCTGATGCAGTTGCGAGCGCCGTGAGACTTTACTGAAACATGAGCTTAGGAATCATTCAAAGGGAAATTTGTGTTTGTACTAATGAGTATGGGAATGGTTATAGCGTGCTGCAGATAGGCCCTATTGTGTATATGTTTCTCCTCATTCCAGAATTTATCATACATTTAGGAAATAAGCATCATTCTGGCAAAAGGCCCCTGATTGATTTGATTTTAAATTAATAGACTCCTCCTGTTTGAATTTACTTTTAAAAAAGCACTTGAACATGAGTCTGTCATGCTTGTTGAACATACAAGTAAACATCCAGCATTTGTAATTGATTGCACATTTTGAACCCTGTTTTTGAGTATGTGCATTTTTAGAATTTCCGTGTAGAATTTTCCATCTCTTCGTGTATGTCCTCATGTATGTTACTCATCAATACTTATATCCTATTAGTTTGTGCCACTTAGTGATGTCCTCTAAATCTTGTTCCTAGATGTCGCTGTACTTGTTCTCGGAGCTCCCCGTGAGTATATGGCAGCCCTCAGACCCGGACATCCTCATCCTGCGCCAGTGGTTGCTGAACTTTGACCTCCTGTCTTCGGAGAACCAGCTTGCACGGGTTATTCTTGGCAAAATCAACTGGGATGTTTTTGAGCAGGTAATAGATGACTTGTAGTAAGTAGTGCTTGTAGAAACATTTAGGGGTACTTTTTAAAAGTCTTTTTTTTTTTCTGACGTCTTACTTGAGTGGAATCAATGTTGTTGAGAGATTACAAAGGCCTTGAATTGATTTTCCTGCAAATGAGAAGGACAAGTTGTTCTTTCTTTCACCAGATGAACACATTTTGTACCGAAGTGCATAAATTATGTTATCTGAGTCAGGGTCTCCTTTATAATAGCGTCTCTGTCACCAGCCTTATCCTTCATAAGCTAATTCAGAGCCCCTCAGCTGTGGAGGATCACTTTGCCATTGTTCATATTTGCAAGAAACCCACTGGGTAAAGTGTAATGGAGGTATCACTTTGAAAAGCATCCCTATTATGCGAGCATCTGAGGATGAAATATGAACACAGGGAACCCCTGTGTGTGTGCTCACGTTCTTGTTTCTTGCAAGTATTCACAGCGAACTTTGATATAGTTTTTTTAAAAAACTACTACAATTTTTCATTTTTTAAAAAGAACTTTAAAGGTAACATTTTTCCTCTTGATTACTTACTCTAGACTGGCCGCCTGGTGGTGGATGTCCGACTTCACCGTCAGATGGCGCTTCTCCTGGTGGAGGCGTACACACGCTTCATCGCCGACAAGAAAGCTGGCTTCTTCATCATGGAGGGAATGAGACAGGTATGCTCAAGTTTCAACAGACTCAACAGACAAGTAATGGTGTGTTACTTTTGATTTGGTGAGAAGGAGAAATATTTTTTTGTGCTTATGTCATGTTTTGGTCATGTGGCGATACATGCATCAATGTCATATTCTATCGTTCTTAACTCTCCTCGTGCTTTTCTATGTACATTACCCTCTAGTAACACCACTAATCTTCGGAACTGTAATCGCCTATTTGTGTTGCAAGTGCAGGTGTTTGAAGGGAGCCACTTGTAGGTCCTACTACTTTACTTTCGCTCTGTTGTTTCTGTCTGTCTGTGGGTGTTATTTTTTCCCAACACTAAATAACCATTATTGTGTCAATGTGCTTCTCTCTACTCAACAAACAACAACATCGAGAACAAATGTGTTGCAAATGCCGTAAAACTTTTACCTTAAACTCAAACTGAAACCCTCTCTCGCCTCGGTGTCCCCACAGATGGCTTTCTACATGTCGTCGAGCCTCACAGCCGAGCAGAGCTTCAACAACTGGGTCTGGGACCTGGCCATCCGGCTCAAGCTGCACCAACACAGTGTCCTGCTTCACGCGATGGGGGTCGTGGACCTCAACTTTCAGCCTCCCAACCTGGGCGGAGACGCGTGGCTGCTCCCCGTGCTGAAAGGCACGAGCAACAAAACCCCCATCGCATGCTTCGTGGCTCTGACCATGACAAACATTGGGCATGAGTGAGTTGGAATTTGTTTTGTTATTTAAAAAAAAAGAAAGATTGGATTATCAAATAATGTGTTAGTTAGGGTTTTTACATTTGGACACTGTTGGTGGAAGTCTTTTTGTATAGGTCTTGATTTTTTTTTTTGTGATTTCAAATTTTCGACATTCAGAATGAATAAGTCTGTCTCTAGTCCTTTACTGTAACATTTGTCTTTTATATGTTTCACAAAATTACTGTCACTTGGGTATTGCCGTGGAGGAATTATGAAATGTGTGTGTGCCTGGAGAAAGGTTACAGTTGTCGGCAAAGCTGTTTTTGAGCAACGGGGTGAAACGAACGTGGTCAAAAATTTTGTTGTCTTCAAACACACGTTTAACCTTTTCTCAGTAATGTATTGAAAGTATTTTACACTATTTTAAGTGACAGTATTGTTTTTTAAAACTATTTTTACATGTACTTCTCTAAAGGTGAAAAATTCGCTTGAAATTGGGTCGACATAATATTTAAGCCGTTTTTCTTCAACCGTTGATTTTACACCCTGTGTCATAAAATGTTGATTATCTTTAAAACTACTCAAGGTATTTAAAAACTTTTAAAATCAGCATGTTCAGCACTGAATTTGCTACAAGAATATGCCCTTATTTCAGTATCCAAAATTTCCAACAAGTGGAACCTTTCTCCAGGAACATGCACATATGTTCCCTGGCACAGGATTTCTAGAGCTGAATGTTAGAGTACAATTTGTCATGTAAATTTTTTTTCCGCAGCATCACGAGCTTTATCTCAGAAGGCCTTGACCTTCTGGCTGTGTTGACGGCCAACTACCAGTACACCACGGCTATTCACGTCATCGGCTGTGTGTTCCCGATGTTCATCGACTGCCCACAGTATCTGCTGGAGAACATCAAGTATGCCTCCAGTTGTCTTTCCTTTCATGTTCAGAAATGCTGATTTTCTGGATTATTCCAGAAATCTAGCTTAATCCGAAAATCCAGATTTCTTACCGTATTGGATTTTGTCGTATGTGTTATAATGCAGTAGAATCAGGGGCTCATCAGTTTTTGGGCATGTGAAGTTACTGGTATCGTCTTAAAGCTTGTTCGTTTGTCTTGTTTGAGAGGGAGATAGACAAAGGTGGAGAGAGAGAGAGAGAGAGAGGGGAATAAATGCTTTCCCATTTTTTAGATGTTTGTATGTACAGTACAGAACAAATCTGTTAGATTTAGATAGATTATACACATTCCCTTTGTTTGTCCTGTATACATTTCCAGCCCTATTCCCTTATTTGTCCAGCTTCATCCAGATCATTCAGTCATTGCTGGGTGCAGATGAATCATTGCTAAAGTCCACCAAGTCGACCATCATGAGTGTGGAGTTCCCTGGTCTGGTCACGCAGCAGCTCACAGAGATGATTCAGGTGGGAATAGAATATTTATGACTGGTGCCCTTGTGTCTGCATGTATGTGTTTGTGTGCCTGTGTGTGTGTGTGTGTGTTTGAGGGGGAGAGAGAGAGAGTGAAAGATAGATTAAGAAAGTGATGAAAAGCGTTTGTCTCTGTTGTTGGATGAGTAATTTGTGGTTTTGAGTGGCTTGCTCCTTTCTACTTTTTCTGTGTTGATCTTGTCTGACAAATCTCTCTTTCTCTCTCTCTCTCTCTCTTCTTTCTCTCTCTCTTTTCTCTTTCTCTTTCTCTCTCTCGTCTGTCTGTCTGTCTCTTTCTCTCTCTCTCTCTCTCTCTCTCTCTCTCTCTCTCTCT